GGGGGGGGGCGGGGTCCTAGCGGGGGGTTAGGTGCTGATGGTGTCGTGCGGGCCGGGGGGCATGGGGGCGGGGGGGGGGGGCTGACAGAGCAGAGGCTCATGGAGGGCCAGCCCGGTGCCTCCCCCCACCTCCACAGCACAAACAGCATCCTGGGGCAGGTGTCTATGGTTTGCGGCCCGTATGACAGCATCAGCACCTAATCCGCAGCTAGGACACACCTTGTTCACGCATCCTCACGCAGCCGTTCATTTTGAGCACCGCAGCCTGGATCCGTGCCAGCTCACCTGTCAGCACGAGCCGTCGATCCTCCGCAGCGGCTGGATGTGGCAGCCTCCTCCAGGAGCCGGGGTGTTTGGTGAAATCTTTTATTTCCAGACCACCACACGGCTCCGCTCCTCCTTGTTTCAAGTACACAGCTCGCCGTTGCCATGCGGACGAAAACCACCAATCAGCTGGAGCGCTGACACCCAGTGGCCACACCTGAACACCACACTGTGGCAACTTTGAAAAAGACAATTCGATTCAGTTCATTTGTATCGTGCCAATTCACATTGCTCAACATAGAGCCTATAATGCCAGTTAGTAAACGGGGCGACAGTGGAAAGGAATGACTCCCTTTCAACAGGAAGAAAGAACCTGTTTCAGGATGGGCGGCCATCTGCTGCAACCAGCTGTGGTTTGAGAAGATGTGGACGCAGACGAACACAGTGGGTCAAGGCATAGTTTCCATGGGAAGATTGGAACACATAGAAGTAATCACAAATACAAACAAGAACAGTAGAGAGGGGAAATGTGGTCAATTTGTTCTCCAGCAGTGAAGGGATAGTCCAAGAAACCCAAATCAACCCCAACTATAGGATTTCTTGAAAGTCTTAAGCCTATTAAAAGTAGACTGAGTGTCAGCCTCACAGACTGAAAGAGGTAGTTGGTCCCACAAGAATGGAGGCTGAAGCTAAAAACTCTGCCTCCCATTTAATTTAGAAACTCTAGGAACGACGAGTAAACCTACAGTCTGAGAGCAAAGTGTTATGTCTGGAAAATATGTAGCAATAAGATATTCAATGTAAAATGGAGCTTTGTTGTTAAGAGCTTTGTATGTTAGGAATAATTTCAATTCTAAATTTGTCAGAGAGCGAATGGAGAGAAATGTGATCTCGTCTAACCAGACTACGTGAAATGCAGGCATATGGAGTATACGCACTAGAAAAGCTTAAGAATTTTAGTATACCCACTTAAAAGTGCCCAATGATGCATGCCATATCATTGGGCACGTGTCATTGATACATTAAACGACAGTTAAATGCTTCCGTAACAATCTATCGATATGCAGCGTTTGTTTATTACGTTCGCTCATAAGGGAATTATTGTATAATTAATACTTGTGTACTTACTACTTATTACTTGAACATGTTTTGCTTTGATACAGTTTTATAAATTCTATAACATGTTTCTAATACAAAGCCAACTGTTGTACAAAGTTTGTTGTTCATTAATTCAAATATACAGTAAGCATGAGAGAAATCTGGAAATGTTCAATACGCTTAAAAATCAACATAACTTGACGATTACATTGTACTAATCACTGTACTTTGGTTTCTAAGCACAGTATACAGATCAATCGCAGTAAAGTTATTTTTACGTTGGACATTCGCGCTTCAGCAGTGTCCATCGTCCAATGTGAAACTAACTTTACCACAGTATACCCACTACAAAAATGTAGACCACACCACTGCTTCTAACTAATCAGAACTCAGCAGCAGTTTGGATCAGCTGATGAGTTTTTAAAAAGCATCACTTTTGGACAACGTGTTTCTAATTTTAGTGATTTACGTAGGTGAAGGAAAGTGGTTTTGGTATATTTTTATTAATGTGGGGGTTAAAAGACACATCCTGATGAAAAATAACACCAAGGTTTTTAACTTTAGAGCTGGAGGTCAAATGAATGTCATCCAGAGGAAGTGAAAGGCTGCAAAGTTTAAGACACTCCGGTCCAAAAATCACAGCCTCTGTCTTGTCTGAGTTTAAAAGGAGAAAATTAGGATTCATCCAGTTTTTTAATGTCTCTAAAACCAGATGTAATCTAAGAAACTGATTGAATTTATAATTTTTTTTGTGGATCAATACAACAGTGTCATCAGCATAACAATAATTTATCCCATGCTTTAACTAATGTACAATTACTTTTGACTTGCAAATAATTGTAATTTTAGCAAACGGAACTCGAAAATAAATTTGTATTTATAACCAAAATATAGATGTTTATTGTTATAATCACTTATTTTTTAAACAAAGTATGCTAATGGATGCTAGTTTGGTAAATTATAGTGCCTCTTTAGAATAAAGCAGCACCAGTATTTCAATTGAGAGTTAGTGATAGCCAGTTAAACATTTTTAATTCCTAGAATTTGCAAACAAATCATTGTGCTCAATTTTAAGAATGTCTTTAAAGTTGGTGGAAAACATGAATTTGCTTTGAGTACGTACAAAACTAAATGAGCCTAAAAGACCCAGTTTCTTACAAAGTTAGATTTTTTTCTTTGAAACAATTCATATGAATTTCTTTAGCAACTTTAAGACATTTGGGCAATCAGGGACAATTTCTAATAAAGTTTCAAATTTTCTCCATCACTTTTAGGCTGTAATAAAACTCCAACAGATAATAATGTAATCATGTTCGCCTCAAATATAATTAGCTTAAAGGGAAACACAAACACTGAAGCCATGCTTTCATTTAATCAATGCAAAAACAAAAATAAAACCAATTGTTCTGCAGGATGTTGGATGACAGCACATCATTTGACAAACAAAAGTATCATAGTAAAGAGAAAGCTCACAAGCACAATATACAGTATTATTACACTTTGAATTATTATTTACCTTTTACTTTGACCTTAAACAGCCAAACAGTGAACAGAGCTTCCTGTAGACAATACTATGTCAATCTGATGACATTTTTAAAGACATCCTCCTTCGTGGTCATAAATATTCCCCCTAACAAAATAATAAAGCACCACGTTATCAGATTTAGTTGGTCAAAATCACACATGGTGTTCATTTGACATTTTGTAGCAAAAGTAACAACACCGAAACCAATCTGTACCCGTATGCAGCAGCTAGGATCCACATCCCTTAATTGACCTTGCAATTTTATGCACATCTCCATTAATAAAATAAATAAAAAACCTTATATAAAAATCACCATAATACTATTTAGGACCAGTTCTGTCACTTGCGTGTGCAATAAGAGCAACAGATGCAGACAAGTGGCAACATTTATGTCCATGTGTATTATTTTTATGATGCCTAATTAATCATTTCAAAATAAAACAATCAATCTGAAATCTCTATGCTCTATGTTTACAGTTTGTTGCTTTGTGGAAGTGCCATTACATCTTCACATTGCAAATTCTGAGTGGAATTCAATTAGAAGTTATAAGCAAAACTTCATAGGTGTCTGCATTACTTGAATTTCAGTCAGTTTCACCCGCAGGTAAAAAAAAAAATGATTGTACAATATCTGTATTTACTGCAAAGACCCTATAGGATGCTGTCAGCAGCATCTTTTAATAAATAAATCAACACTGAGGTGTTTTTTGTTCACAAACCTGCTGTGAAACAGCTGCCAAAACACTGATTCTCAACCTTTTTGGCTGAATCGTCCCCAACAAACCTACGAACGCTACGTCTAAATGATGATTTAACCTAAATGTAGAACTTGTACACTCAGAAAACAACATTTGAACTAGAATTACAAAAACAACAGTGTCTGTACATTAAACGTCCATCGTTGGCGCGCTGTTCCTTATGGCATCGCTCGTCTGCGTTCTTCGAGGTCACCTCGTCAAATTTTTCTGAAAAAGCTGAAACCGCTTGGCTTTGTTGAGCTGAGCACACGTGTATTGTGTGGCTAATACTAGCTGTATGCAATTCTTTTTTGGCCCTTTGGAGTTTTACGTACCTTAGTATACAAACACTTTTACCCACATAAATCAAGACAAAACTGTATCCTGTCAATTACAAAAAGCTTCTGCTTTACAATCACTTCATGGCACTCATACACAAAAATAAAATGTGCATAAGGCTGTACAGCAATCAGCAAGATAATACAAACAAACAAACAAAAAAAACAATGCATGATCTTAAAACATTCAGTGCTTCAGTGTAGTGGGTAAAATAAGCTAGCATTCATACTGTCTTCTTTTGACGTTTGGCACAACAAAAACAGAAAAGCACACTCACACACGTGTCTTTTAAACTGACTAAATCCGTAAAAACACATGAATGCATCATTTCGACAAGTGTTTTACATTCCAGTTGCTCATATATTTTTTTTAAAGTCCTGTCACATCCAGGTTTTAATATGAAGGATAACAAGGGCAGGAATGCCGTGAGGAGAAATTAAGATTAAAAAGACAAATATGCATTCATCAAAACTGGCATTGCAGGTGTTTGAATCTTTATGAGTATGTACAGTGGAGTGCAAACTGAGATGAATATTTTCATATTATGGGGTACTGAGTTCCATTAGGACTGCACAGGCACTACTTTTTTAGGGGTGGCTGGCTTCTTGGTTTGCCAGAGGTGGTTGTGGATCGTCACGGCATCGACGCTGGCCGACATGGTTTTAGCAGGGATCTGACTGAACTGCTTCTTGTCCGAGTTGTACTTGTAGAGTCCGTCTATCATCTTGCGTGTGACGCTCTTGGGGCCGATGCCTGTCAGCCTGCTGATCTGCTCTGTCTCGGGGTAGTAGGTGTAGAGAGATCGAAACTGGCAACCAGAATCCCGGAACAAAACCAAGAAGTTGTTGGCCTCTGATTTTTCCATTTCCTATTGAGATCAAAGTAGCAAAGCTCATTTAGAATCAGTACATATACTTTACTCCAAGAACTATGCATGGTTTTATTTCTGCATGTTTATTTTGAAGCATTTCAGACTTATACTTATTGTTATATTTGACAAAATACTCAGACAGAGCAGCCATTTCTCATCAGGGTATAAACCAGTACAGAACAGGCTGTTACCTCCAGGATCTTGTTCTTTTGTCCCTCATTGACCTTGCCTGCGAGGCAACAATGGGCCAGAGCATTCTGGATAATATGTTTGTTAGATTTGGCACTGGGCTCCTTGTACAGCCTTGGTCCTGAAAAAAAAAAAAAAAAAAAAGAGATCAGAAAACATTAGGAGGAGACTGTTGCCGTAGCAACCATTCCAGTTAGGTCACAGACCAGACCCGCCTCCATATTTTTACCCTTTTGTGATAAATAATGTATTACTTTGTTAGACAAAAGGATATGAGCCACAAAATCACGTGGAATACAAATGATTTGTGCGTTCCAGAAGATTTGCATCAAGTTCACCCACCAGTATACTCTGTGTTGGATGTAACAGACGAGGTGGTGGATGCGTTTTCCCAGTCTTTTTCTCCATTCCTGCTGCTGCAGCGACTCGGCGACAGGAAGCCATCTGCAGAATCTGGCCTAAAGCAGGAATACACACACGGACTGAGTCTTAGATCACTTGTCTAAATTCTGAACGCTCAGCAAATTCAGTAAAAAAAAAAAAAAGAAAACAGGGTTCAGTTTGGTCATCAAAAGCAGAGAGTTGATGTTTTTGCAGAAACCGGTGAAGCAGCAAAGCTTGCAAGCATACACAGGGGGGTGCAGTGTGGTGTGTTCAAGGTCCAGAAACAAGGTTGACTGGACAGTGAAGCATTCGGCTTTTATGCTCTAACTGGAAGGACGTTTTTCTTAAAACAAAAGCAGCTTTACGAAAAAGTAATAGTTTAAACTTTGAAAGAACATCAGTTCTGTTATTACTACAGAAATTATATCACAGCACTTGAACTCGATAAATAAAAATATCTAAGAAAGGCAGTCATACAATTAGAGCAACCAAAGCCAAACTTAGCTCAGATCAGTTAGTGCCTTTTTCAAACGGCCAGCATTAACAAGTCACTGCAGCTGTGCTTTTTGCAAGTATATGCAAATAAATCAGAGTAACGACTTGGTAATGTGGCATTTTGTGCAGGGTGAAATTCTACAAAGCAGGTTTGTGATGTGGTTTTAAAAATAGTTTATTTTACATAACTAAGTTGTAAAAAAAAGAAAAAAAGAAAAAGCAAACGTAACTTGGTAGAGCAGAGGGGTGAGTAGGAGAAAAAGCAAAGTCGTTCTTAAAACTTATGCTGTAGCTCAGCCTTAATAGCTTCACAGCTTACGTGCATTTCAAACTGTTCTAAAATTTCACATTAGCTAGGAGTGTTCTTTAAATCAGCTGTGGGTTTTTGTACATGGTTCCATTGCACTCAGTCAAACCATAATAAAAACTCATAGCGGGGGGACAGTGCAGGATTAGTTTCTGTGCAGCATGAAGTGCCTTAAAAACAACTGACAAAGTAACTAACCTTCTTTTTCTCAGTTTAGGAGAGCTCAGAAAGTAGAAGAGCCTGCTAGAGGCTAAACTAGAACTCCTAAAATGAATAAGCAGGAGGAATGGAGTTAAAAAAAAAAAAAAGGAAAACTGGAAAACGTTAGATCTAAGAGGCAGCCAAAGTATCACCAAGTTATTCATAAAAAAACATCCAGTCTTACATGTTTAGGATGTATTTGAAGCTCTCTGATGTTCTCAGTGTGTTTTTACTTTATTTGGTGTGCAAATGCTCATTTACAGTGGTTTAGTAGCTGTAATCCTTGAGCAGATGATTCATGTTTCAACATTTAATAATTACAGTTCCAGCTGCACTGTACTTAGCAAAAACTTCAAGTTTTCAAGTTGTTTGTTCTCCTTTACAATAAAGCTTCATAAGTGATATTGAGTCTACCCCAAAAGTTTGACATTTATTTCATACTTGGCACGTTTCACCATCACTTAGACTTGTGAAAGCTTCTTACCTTGGTGCCCTCTTCTCGGTGTGAACGCTGTCGCTGTCGCCCAGGTTGAGGGAAGCAAGGGACAAGCTGGAGACTGAAAAGACACGTTGCCGTGAACCTTGATGTGAGACAACAACATGTGGCGTGACACAATTACACACACTCCACAAATGGAAAAACAAAACAAAAAAACTTTCCTCTTTTTTGTACGACAGAGCAATGCAGTTTTTCTGATATGACCATATTGAACATACGTGACAACCTACAACACTTAGATATTTACAAGTTAAATTTCTGAAAACACAATTTGCTTTAAGTCAGAAACATTTCTCCTTCATTATGTCAGTGTGCTAAGCTGTGAACTCTGGTTAGTTACAATAATGTTGCTTATTATTAATAATTTATAATTGTTTTATTGTTGTTTAATAATATGCTCAGAATTAGTATGTTTTTAAATAAATTACAATAAAACGAGAGAAACTTGTATTATTGGATGCTGTGGGGCTGAGAAGATGCAGGATGATGATTTGACAATGTGACTTCCATGAGTGACAGCTGTCTCCATGGTTACCTGTGGTGGCTCTGACAGGGGTCTTTGGGGAGTCTATGCTGTCACGATGGATAGACTTGGGTCGGGTCCGCCTCTGCTTGGCTCCCCCGGCTGCTCTCGGCTTGATGATTGTGTCCATGTCCTCCATCAGCTTCAGCTGCTTTCTCCTGAGGTACTCTTGCTTGATGAACTCCTTCCTGGCCTTGTCCTCCTCCTTCCTGACACGCTCCTCATCTGCCTTCAATCTGAACACATGTAGGGATGGAAAGAGCCATGGAGGAACAAGAAGCTTTGGGGGGTTTGGTTGTTGGATTTTGAGGAATGTAGTAAAATACCCTAAAAGTAAGATTTTAATCAAATTTTCAACTGAACTATATTATTGTGAAACTTACACGGAAAAAGTAAGAGTAAAAAAAAAAAAACAGTAAAGTTGATGAATAACTTTAGGGACTATCACACAATAGAAAAGGAACGAAATCTGCTTACCGAGCTTCCTCTTTCTTTTGCTCCAGCTCAACTTCCTGCTGCACCTTCCTCAGCTGGCTCTCTTTTTCTCTTCTCATCCTTTTCTCCAGCAGAGCAGCCCTCTTCTGTGCCATGTTCTCCTCTGCCTTTCCATCCTCCTGATGAAAACCAAAAGCATCAGTCATCAGCATCATGTTCTACAGGGGCGGCAACCTGGGTAACATTAGATGACTAATAAATTAATGATTTCTTTACTTAGTCTTTAATTAAATTTGTCTATTATTGTGAAAAGACTGTTTATGAGGGCAAAATGTGGTAAAACTCTGTTTTATGGAAAATAAAAGGTTTTCAGAGGCATAAAATTTGTATTTACCATGACATTCACCCGTGTTAAAAACATCAACAACTAGATTTTTCTTAAAAAGTTGTATTTAAATTATAAACATTTACATGCCCACATATCTATATTTAAATAACTATCACATATGACATTACAAGATTGGAATATTTTAACTAAATGAGGTCAGACCTACCGTAATAAAACAAATAAAAAATAAGTGAAATCAGATAAATGAATTCACAATTTAATCATTACAAAACATAGTTCATTACATTTAAACTCATTGTCCAATTTTAAAAAGACTGATTAAGTCCAACGTTTTCTTAAAGTTAACATTTGCTTGAAATCTTATATTAAAGCCAACCCTTCTCCAACGCTACATGTCCACAGCTGAGCCTGAATTATTCACAGCAGCCCCATTTCTCTGACCTACATCAAAGCCCAGACAGCAGCGAACAACTGTTCTATACACTAAAAAAGGGATAAGGATGCTGTCTTCAGCCCACATGTTTCCTGGATCATTAATAATCTGATGTGAAGAACAAGATTATTTCCAAAAGAAAGCAAACCTGGTAGTCCTGGTGCAAAAAACATAACTTTTTACTCTCAACACTACATTTAAAGGTCGCCAGAGATGTGCATAGTTGTAACCTAGCCTCTGTATGATATATGAACTACTACTATTTACTACTTCTGTATGAAGTAGTAAGTAGTAGTTTAATTTAGCATTTACATATACAGTATATATTAAGGCGTTGTAAACCCTTCCCACACTCTTGCAATATTCTGAACAATGTTTCTATACTCTAAACGCTCTAAAAGAACACATAGTGTCATGATTTCAGCTCCCTGCCTCCGCTGCTCTCTGCCACCTGCAAGCACTCTCGGCCACGCCCACTTCTCCGCTTTGCACAGAGATCAGCTGCAGGAGGAAGCTTACCCTGCAGTATGGACTGCACAGAGATGCAGAAGGTGCTAAATAATTTAAAATAATCTATTTAAAATAAAAATTCCATGCCGTTCATGCAGCTCATCCATCAATCAACCAATTGTGTGTCATGTCCAATCTTATTTTGAAAAAATGCGATAGAGCGAGTCCGCGAAAAACGAACCGCGAAGTAGTGAGGGACTACTGTATACCTTAAACTTAAGTCACTTCACTCACTTTTTGCCCATTACACATTCTTGCTTTGTGTGTAATTGTTGATATTAGTGATACAAATTAAACAAATTGTTATATTTTAAGACTTATAGAAATTACCTTGAAGAAGAAACCATGACAGATCCTTTGTTCTTCATCAAAGTTCTCCGTATTGCCCTGCTCCACCTCCAAACCATCATCGATCGTCAGATCTTCTAGTGGCTTTACAACTGACAAAGGAACCTCAATCAGACTGCTCTTGGCTTGGACAGAGGGTTCTAGTTTGGAAAGTATCTTGGTGGGTGTCAGTGTGAAGGTCTCTACTACAGGGTGAGACAGAACCTCCGGGAACGACGCCTCTATTGTAGGTTTTAGTTCTATAAATGGCTTCTGAACTCTGTTGTTCTGTTCAACTGTTTCTATGCCCCAAGTCTTTAAAAGACCGAGATCCTCTGTTTCTTGGACATTTGCATCCACTTCAGTTCTTTCTTCTTTGAGCTGCCAATGGGGGGAACTAGGGGGTGATATGGCTGCAGATGTACCCACCAGGTCTCTCTCTGGGGACACGAGTGACTCGGTCTCTTTGTTATTATCCCCATCTGGAGCTACTCCCTCAGTACTGGCAGCTGCTGGCTTCTCCCCCATGTAGATAAAAGCGCTTACCAAAGGTTGACAAGGAGAAAATCGCCGTAGTCTTGGGATGCTGTCAACAGACTGTGGAGCTTTTAAGACTCGACTGTATGGGGCCAACTTGAGCTCAGTGGGACGAGCGGTGCGAGGATTCCGTGAGTGGAAAGAGGCAGATTTGCGTTTGATGCTGGTTGGAGAGCGACGGGTGGAACAAGGTGAGTCTGCAGGAGAAGAGGGACCTGAAGATCGAGTGACAGCTCGAGTGTGTTTTTGTGGCGAGGGGTTTGTATGGGGAGAGGGGATGACCCACGCCTGCTGATGCTGTTGTTCCCTCATGGCCATGATCACTTCCTGCTGTTGAGATAATCGCTGCATCTCTGCTTGAAGGAAAGCTAAAGAATGGTTGAGCTTTTCAATAGAGCGGGTATATTCTGTGAGATCCAGTTCTGTCAGCTGAGCATGACTTTGCCCACCTTCCTCACCAGCACCCGGTAGCTTTTTCCAACAAGTGGTTGTACTGCTTTGCTCAGCTCCATCAGGTGTGTCTGCCTTGCTTCTACCAAATTTAACTGTTGTGCTTTCTGACTTTCCTTCTCCATCAGTCTTCTCAACATCCTCCCCACTAGCAGCCCCATCAGCTTTTCTCTTTACCACATTCAGGAAAGCTGAGTGGCCCATCTTTTGTCGATGCCTTGTAAAAGCAGCTTCCACTTTCTTCTTCTGTGCTTCAATGGCTTTCCTTTTCTCCTCAAGCCTCAGCTTCAGCTGCACCATTTCTGTAGCCATGACCTGAGCAGGGTCATTGGGTGGAAGCTGCACAGATTTGGGGGATGCCTGAACATTTGCGGGTGGTGTATTTTGTTGATGAATGGGGCTGTGCTCGGGGGTTGGTGCCCAGGAGACAGATAATGGAAGGCAGAACTCAGACCCTTCTGGAGTTGTCTTCATGGAGCTACTGCTGCCTCTGCCTGAATCGGCTGCTGATGGACTGAGCTTCCTCGTCTTCTGTTCAGCAAAGCTGGTCATTTTCACTCCACATGGGGATTTGCTCAGACTGTTAGCACTGGGACTTGGCGTGTCCACATCCAGTTCCATGTTCACAGAGCAGTCTTTAAGAGAGGAGTCTTCATCCAGCATGTCCTCTGTTCGGATGTGGACACCAGTGTCAACCTCTGTGGTGTCTGTAGTGCTCAAAAGTTCTTTAGAGTCCAGCTCTGACACTGGGTCCAATCTGCCAACACCAGCTTCTTGGTTTTGACAGTGCAAGAAGAAACCATTGTTGACGCCCTCTACAGGTGGTCTATTTGGGCTGTGAATAATGTGGAGTGCTTTGTCCATGGAAGAAGCTGAACCTATGACATTTCCATGTCCGTTGGGGTATGGTTGCTTGTTAGTCTCCATACCTGCAAGGATATCTGGGCAGCCTTCCTCCTCAATGCCAACACCCTGACCATTCACTGGCTGGAAGGACAGGTTACGTTTCATTCCACGAGGCATGTGGTGGACCTTGAAACCAGAACCATCGTCAGTGCTTACGGATCTGACCATGCCACGAGTGGAGGAAAACAGGGGCGGAACAGAGTCCTCTTTGTCAAAGGGGATGTCAAATGACACTCCATAAGGCCCAGATCTTAATGGAAAAACAAGACAAAATTATACCTAAATCTGCTATTATTTATTTTGATGAGAGAACAATTATCATATCTTAATCTGTAAACGCCTACATCTCACACATCAACAACATTACCAACCTTTTCTCTTTGGGCCATGTCCCAAGGTTGCCATCAACAAAAGACATTGAGGTTGACCTCTTGATTTCTCCTGGATAACCCCAAAAGTAAAGTGAAAAAAGAACAAAAATGTGATGCAGTTAATCATATTTGAATTTGCATGTAAAAATTATACGCAAATCTAAAACTGCATATTTAAAAAAAAAAAATACTGACCTGAGTTTCGAGGTTGTGGTCGAAGGGGTAAACTGGAAAATGAAAGACAGAAAAGGCATCATAATTGGAATTTATCTTAATACTTTGTTTGAATGTCCACTTACAAGTCCATACGACTTCACAGCGACTGTCTGGAATAACTTACCTGGGTCTTTCAGGACTTGGAGGTCTTTCCATGAAACTTCTCTTAGTTGCCTTGGAGATAGGGATGACTGACACATCCTTTAATACTGATTCTGAAATCACACATCAAAAACAAATTATAAAACCGTGCTTTGACGACAGATCATCATTTAAAATTGTACCATTTATTAATTATACTAGAGAAAATAAACCCATAGGTAACTTTATGGACTGTACTAATCATGATACTCAAAACACAACTTTACCAAACAACATGCACTATTTATTGATTTTGTTTGCATAACTAAAATGTCACTAGTGTGATTTTTGCTATCACAGGGGCTATTCTACTGTATAAGAAGAATTAAACACTTGCCTGTGCCTTCATTGTCCAACATTCTTGGCTTTACAAAAGACGGCTTAACCACCTCCAACCACCAAAACAGCTCTGCCATGAACACTAGGTAGTTACTCTGGGGAAGAGGGCAACAATAAGATTAAAAACATGTAATATTAAATCACTCATGTCAAAAAATAATTTATAGACTTTTCACAGCCTGTCATTTACTTTGGAATAATCATTAAACTGTTACATCTATTATTCCACCAGGTGTCACTGTTGAACCTGACTGAGCAGGTGAGGTGATCGGTGTTAACTATTTTTTTCTGTTTGCATGACAATAACAAATCAAACTAGTCACCTTTAACAGAATGTCTTCAGAGGATTGAGAGCTAAAACCACAGGCAAGCTGTTTATCAGTGTATCCTAAACAAGTTGCTATCATGTCGAAGACATCATTGGTTTTATAGGTGCTCAATCAAACAATCTTTCACCTGTAAAACAATCACAATTGTTTTACTACCAGTGCTGCACAGATTGCTCCTGTGTTAGGTATATTTTATGTTAGAGTTTAGCTTTTTTTTTTATTATTCTGTTATGCAAACCACAACACTACCCAATTCAGACTCCATTTTTTTCCACTTGCTGTGCCACATTGTGACCATTTGTAAATCAGGTCAACAGTGGGAGGTTAAACTCCTGGAGGACATGGCAGTATCAAATCAAATATTTTCTTTTTTTTTGTTTTCTTGTTACAAATCACATAATGTATGAACTATTCTATGTAATGGACGACAATGTAGCTGAATTATGACATTTATAATGCAAATACACCAGCTTATACAATATATACATTTAATTTCTCCTTGTCTGATTTGACAGCATGTTTAAAAATCGATTTTCAATTATTCAAGACAATCCAAGAAAGAAAAAAAAAGCTCTCTGAGAGCACATAATAATTGTGTCAGCACCCTCAAACAAAGCAATGAACAAGTCAATATTTTTTTCCTCAAGAACAGGAAGGCATTTTGTATTTTGGACTAAATTTATTATGGTCTCGTTTCTACTTTATCATATACCAATATAAAATTTTTGATAAATGGTTGTAGATCAGAGTTGAGCATGTGCAAACACATACAAATGCAACGTGAGAACCGTGAATCTGTAATGACCTTGAGGAAACACCCTCTTCCAGCTTTCAGAACAAGGTCCCCAGACAAAGGCAATGCTGCATGGCACACTCCAGAGATACCTGATTCACCTCCTCAGCAACATTTTGCTTCACCAAGCTCACCCCCCCCCCCCCCCACCCCCACCACCACCACACACACACACACACACATATACACTGCAGTCCACACATACACCAGGAGGCACAGAGGCAATTAACACTACTGACACTGGTCTATTGTGGTTGTTACTGCAGCTTTCCTCAGTTTATTCTTGATTCACGTTGCCTTGCTATTGTCCATGCTCATGTGCAGAGCTGCTATAACACATTGTAGATGTGCAAAGCAAAAGAGCACATGAACCAGTAACACAAAACAATGACCAACTTTACATGCAAACTGTACGTAACATAAAAAGGCAACAGTTTTAAGACTCTTAACCACAAAGCATGACTATACCACTCCAAGTCAAACAGTACTGGTTACCTTTGTTGGTTGTTGATAGATCTCCACTTATCCAAACTGCCCAGGCCTGCAATGAACCAAACCTCCCACCATCTGTTCCCTCCTCTTCTACTGACACGCCAGGTGTGCGTTATCGTTTAATACCACCCTTATGCAGGCACACACACACACACACACACACATCTGCTCTCTACATGACTGCCCCGCCTTTCTCCCAATCGACTGGCTTGTCTACTTCTTGACCCTCCAGGTTTGTAGCATTGCCAGATTTTGCTGTTTGGAGATTTGACTCTCGGGATAAAGACAGGAACCTGATTGGTGATTACAGAGGAGAGTCCAGAGTGGAGGGTGATATGGTGGTTGGGGGTGGGTGGCTAATCCACTCTGCAGGGATTGACTTGCCCCTCTGCTACACACAATCATGGTGAAACCTCCAACAATGATGATAGAGGGTAATGCTTGAAGCCATAAAAGTGCCAATAGCATGACTCTGAGCCACACTCTGCAAATAAAATCATTCAGTTCTGCAAAGGAAAGGCCAGACAATGAACATTCAAGGTGGTGGTGGTGGTGGGGCATTAATCCTAAGAGTCACTGGGCCAGGAAGTTGATTAAAGGACCTGGGTCCAGCAGTCAGACAGAATTGCACAAATCTGGAATACCCATTTGTTGATTTTCTGCCAAGTTTCTCTGTCTGCTGTCTACTGAAATAGCTGAGCTTACAGTTCCAAATGTGGCTGCACACCAACACCAAACACCTCATTTTTAAGTTAGGAAACTGTGATGAGATGGTAAAATAACATAAGACTTGCAGCATTTTCTTACTGGTTATCTAAAACAAACAAACAAAAAAAAAACAATCAAATGCTTTATTTTGAATTTTAAATGGAAACATATTAGTAAAAGTTATCTTATATTTATATTAGTCTTTTTTCAAATTTGTGTATTCTGCTTCTTTTCTATCTGTCCGTCCGTCCGTCTATCTATCCATCTATCCATCCATCCAAGTCAGCAGATTGTGTTGAATCTTCACTTCATCGCTGTCTCCCATCCTGAGCAAGAACAATGGCAACAGTGGAAAGGAAAAACTCTCTTTTAACAGGAAGAAACCTCCAGCAGAACCAGGCTCAGGAGGAGCGGCCATCTGCTTCAACCAGCTGGGGTTTGAGAGGACAGGAAGGAGAAAGAGACATCTATGCATAGTCAGACTATAGACAGCTGACAAACTATTAAGAGTCTTCAATTTATGAATCTTTGTCACAAGCTTGCTAGTAAAATGAATCCTGTAGGTTGATTTATTTTCTTTGGAGCCACAGATGCTTTTTTAAATTTGAATTAATTAAATGTAGAGTCATTGAATGGGAGTAGGTTGACATGATTTACTTGCTGATGCCCATTAGGAAAGAACGGCCTTAAGTAATGTACATAATAAATGTTTTTTGGGGGGGTTGGGTCTGAAGGCTAATGCATTGTGTCATTGAATAAGATGAACATGATGAGTGATCAAGTCTTTTCTAAACAAGTAAAACGCTAAGAATAAAAGGAACATGTTTTTATGCAGTATTTTGGTTTGTTTTAAATATATATTCTTCCTATGCTGACTTGTATCTGCCACTTTCAGTTAAGACAAAAATTATCACATTTTTCATTATTTTTTATGAATTTATTTATGCAAAAGAACAAAACAAAACCTCAAACAGATTTTTTTTTGTTAGGTTCATCAAATGTTCAAATTTGTTGCAGTTCTTTGATGTTTTTGACATGCGATGTTTTGGTTGTTGGTCACAAAAAAAAACACATGGTGATCAGAGATTATTACAGGTAATGGTTAGACAATGTAATAGTAAAATAGAGATGCAACATATAAACATTTGAAGAAATAAATTATTGGTAATAATTTGACAGATTAAGATTATCAGGTCTTTACTTTACCTCTATTCAGAATAGAACAACAATTAGATCTGACAGAATTATCCCAGGAGCATTTTCATCTGACTGAGCATGTAATCTTAGTACCAGACTGTGTATTACTGTGGATGTTTAACTAATCTGGATGTCGCCCCTCTTTAGTATCTGCTGCTCAGTTACTTCCATCTTCTTTCCAAACGTTTCACACTCCTGTTTCTTTGCTGTTTCCATTTTCCTCCACATCAGGACCCTCCTCTCGTCTCCTCCCCTGTAATGTCTCTGTTTAATGAGGTCTCTATTAGAGTGATGGGCCACAGCACACAGCCACGGAATGTGTGGCGGACTGGAATGTGGGTCAAGGTTACCGAGTCGAACTGGTTCTGTTTGCAGTTCTGACTTTACCGGCTTCTCTCAGGCATTAAATCTGCACTGCTGGGACAGTTTTACATCTCCAGAAATCAGTGTCAGCAAAATTCTGGCAGCTTCACACAACTGAAGTGAACCTTTTTTTGTGTGTGTGTGTGTGTGTGTGTTTTAGACTGTATAAAACAGGAGATTCACCAGCTAGTGCTAAACTCAAATATAACATGGTCAAACTGTATTTTTCATCTATTCATCTACTGCATCACAGTCCAGTATCTACCATTCTGCTGTGACGTGGCTTAAATACTGCAAACAACTGTTTTACATAGTAAACTTGTATATTTAGGTTGTGCAAAATCTGTTTTTTGTCTCTGTCACTGCACACATTTTCCCCAGGTATCTGACGTGTTTTTTCACTTTAGACTGAGGTTTGTCCTTTCAATGACCTGAATTCTCTGCACACTGAGCATCAGTTGAGTTCTGCATCCAACATGCTGAGCTGACAGCAAACCAGAGTTAGACTTCCATCCAGACACATAATGTACAGTATATGCAACTCTCAGAAAAAAAGCCAGTTATGGACAAAATGCACATGCAGCAGGAGGGGAGGTTACACCAAATCACCAGATCGACAGAAGGACGTTGTGCTTAAGACTAAATGGACAAGATATAACACAATTACGGAGAGCTAGCAAAGGATTAGAAATAACTGGACACTTTTAAAGTCACAGAGAAATCCAATATGTGACATTTTTGTCTACTATGTTGAAAAAGAAAAAGCGTTTGTCAAACTTTATAGGCTAAATATGTTTGTTTTTTTAATTGCTGAAGTAAAAGTAGGACAAGAAGTAAGCTGATTTAAAAACATGAGCTGTTTCTAGGACAAAAACACTCCAGCAGCATTTTACAAGAAAAAAGAAAAATACAAAAAAGGATAAAAATGCATGTATGAATGGAAAAGCAAAACAATGTTCACTGAAGTATGAGCAAAAAAACAACCTCTGCATCTATTATGGGGATAAATGCAAATAAAAGAACATCAGGAACAGAGAAAAAACAAACTGTCAATTTGTTTTGTGAGGTCTATTTTCCACTGCACGACTACACTGGCCTCAAGGTCTACTCACTTCTCTTCATTCAGTCTCTCTGACTGCGTACCACTTATGGGGCTTTTACTCCATTTTGCAGAAAAAAAACTAAATAAAAGGAATATAATCACCAAAATTCACAAGCTTTTTTTTCTTCTTCAAAATCAAAAGGTCTAAATGTGCACAAGTCTACGCAAGTCTCCTGAATCTTTTCAAAAGTAGTAAGTAGTTTGCATATTATGGTAAATCCATGAAGATCTGAGGTGTACCTTGATGGTGGAGGAGGTGTAGAGCATATCCTCCAGGCTGAAGTGGCAGCAGCTGTTCAGGTTGTCTTTACAGAAGTCCTGTATGAGCTGCAGGTTGTAGAGTCGGTCAGCCAGGCTCATGTTCTCCTTCAGACAGATGTCTGAGGGGGCAAAGAGAGCCATCGGGTGTCAGGGTCAGCGTGTTACTTTACAGTTTGCATACTTATCTTAGGGTTTCTTGTTCTCAGTGCTGATGGTGACTGTATTGAAAATGTTGTGACTGAGTTTTTGCCTCCATTATGTTTTCAGATTAGGTAACTAACGTGCATATCTACATAGCTGATGTGCTTGTGTGCATTGGCTTTCCGCTTGAAATGTTTTATCTAAAGGAATTTGATGTGATCATGTTGCAACTGTTTGTGACTGACCTTTGATCTGTTAAGGAAAACATGTCTCTGAAATAGTATATCTTATGACAGTGTTTATCATTCTTCTGGAAGCAAAATCTGAACTAGTTTTTACATAGAAAAATAATGTATAATTAAAAAACCTTTCCCCAGTTTAAGTGAGACAGAACCAGGAGGCTGTTGAGGCTAAAATTATTTTTCCTTCTTTATTTTTTGCATTATCAGCAAGACAAAATAATTGCATATTTATTTGGTTTCTTGCCATAAAGCTCTTCCCTTTTTTTTTTTTCATTGTTTAAATGCTCAAAGACCAGCTCACCCAGTACAGTATTTGTTTGCTTTCTTACCATCCAGCGGTAGAACCTGAGGGCAGTAGAAGTGCAGCAATGCACCCAGCGCCGAGCCGTCTGCGCAGTCTTTCAGCAGGTTGTCCACTGGGGGAATCCAGGGGGTCGGCTGGGTGGAGGCCTGCTCTTTACGATATCGAGCCTGTGTGACAGAAAACAATGAACCTAAATATGTTGTGAAGAATTACGCTGCCTGCATCTGCAGTCTCTGTTGGACCAGACTTATCCTGACGTTTCTTTTAATCATTCACTAAAATAGCTGAAAACTAAGCATGCTTAATGGGGCGACCCGAACAGCTGTGAGTACACTAGATCTGTAAAGAAGTGACAAACACAGAAAACAGCGTGGATTCACAAGATTTAGTCATGGTGATCAGATGGCTCAGGAGCCTGGCAGTTAATTGAACTGCAGAAAAAGGAATAACAATAAAATTATAGATATAAGCATGAACAGTGGCTGACTATTCAGCCTTTGTAACAGAAAGAATAAAATAATATCTTCCTAAGCCGGTCAAAGAAGGTTCAGCAGGTTCAACTTTAACATATATATTTTTTTAGTTTTACACAACTAAACCCAACAATTATTGAAGTAAAATGGAAAATAATAAAAAGATTTAAGTACTATTTTATTGTACATGAAGACAAATTACTATACCACTGAGATACTGTTAATAAAATAAGTGAAAAGGGAATAAAACCATGTTTATGATGGTGTCAAGTCACAGGTTGACAACAAAAGCCTATAAAACAGTGATAATCCAACTTAAAAAAAAAGGTATGGGGAGGGAGAAGCACCACAATGAGCACAGAAGAAAAACACACAGATTAGTTGACTTACAGGTACAAGCTTCATATACCACTTGGTTGGAGACTGCAGCAGCACAGCACAGGGGAAAAGACACAACAAAGAAATGTGTTTCAGTGAGATTAGTTAGAAAATGATTAGTATTGAAAAGAAAAGCACAATAACTGCAATACAAAAAAATGAAGGAAAACTAACAAACATAAATAAGTCTCATCTGAGTGTGAATGAAATCCTCATTTAGAATCAGAATCATAATTTATTGTCATTGCACAGAAGTACAATGAAATTACATTTCAGTACTGCCCGTCCAAAGAAACAAAAATACAAAGATGGGTAGATGGGGTGCCTGAAGCTGCAGCCTCATGGGAGGCGCTGCCCTTTTTGTTATATAAAGAAAAGGGAAACACAAGGAAAGAGGAGATTAAAAAAAAAAAATCTCAAACTGTGTCCATAACGGGACAGGACACAGTGTGAAGTTGCACAAAGACCTCAGAACAAAAAAAGCAACATACAGATGACATACGACATATGCATGTGGAGTGGTGGTGGTGGGGGGTCTAGCACAGGCTGCCCAAGTGAGCGACACAGCCACCTGGCACCTTCATATTTAACGTAGACTACTGCGCCTGGGGGGCAAAAGGAGGGAGGCCAGTGAAGGAGCTGAGTTTGAGGGGAGTAAGTCTGTTAACAATATCATAGCCCCCCTCAGTCATAGTCCTGATAAGTGATGGTGCAATGTTTATCAGAGCTCTGACACAGGTCCACAGATGTCCTCGGGAAAGGGAACGGGTAGGGGGGAGTAGAGCATCTTGTTTACTTAACATCCAGGAAAATTTGAGATAGTCAGCCTTCCAAGGCTGACACGGGGGAGCCAGATTCAGATAACAACAGTTGTTTTGGCTCAGGGTGATGTTGCTAATTTCCGTCTGCCTTACAGTCTCACTGGTACGTCTCAATGGCAACTCCAAATAGCCAAATTTGTGGTCAACTCTGCCGAACCAAGCTTGCAAACTTCTTGAAGATCAATTCATTCCTGCCAGCAAGATTCAGGAGCTGCAAGTAGCCTGCGATTCTCAAGAAATGCGTCCAGCTTACAGTTCAGCTCACACAGCATTTGAATCTGAGCGTTCACAGCACGACACATCCCCTCGCCAGGCAGCTTCACAATGGCCAGAACAGCTGCCGACGTTTTCTGAATTTGTTGATATGCCAGGTAACCACCAACTCCAAAAATCAGAAATCCTGTTTTCATAAATCCAATTATGTACACATCTTCAACATCCTCGACCAACAATATGGACAGGCACACAATCTTCCACTGCTCCCAGGAATACATCATGTAGCCGGCTGCAAGTGTCCCATCAGGGCAGGAGGGCTCTCCTTTACCCTGTCTTCTCGTCAAGAAAATTTGATCAATTGCACTGAGAGACCAGCTGACCAGATCCACGATTTACAATTTGGAAGATATGCAAAGACAGTCTCCAAAAGGTTCACAGGACAAAGAGCAGAAGCAGGGGAAGGAGCAGGAGGAGAAAAAGCATTCGCCTTCACCGAGAGCAAGAAGGAAAGAAAAACACTTGAACTGAGTTTGTTGTGATTTGGTTTTAGATGTTTAAATTAGACTTTTATTCATTGTATGTCTTCAGAATGTTCAAGTGTGGCCATGCAACTTAGAAGAATTTATCTTTATGTGAAAATAGTGGTCTTCAACTTTCCAGTGTCTTTTATTTTACCCAAAAGTTGGTATGTGAATAAAGGGACGTATTTAATGTATTCTAAAATGTATAAATGAAGGTAATATTTGCATGACATGTACATGTTGTTATCCTCCACTGGTTTTGTACTAAGTCATTTGATTAGTTTTGTTACAAAGCTATTCTTTATTTATACAGCACCTTTCAAACAGTAACACATCAGAGTAACCTCAGATTCTGTATTTGTCTGCTTTTTATTGCTATTCTGTTTTCTTTAGCTCTTAATTGGAAAAAAGTCTACTTTGACTTTTACGTATGTGAGCTGACAAACTAATTTTCATTCAAGAGCTATTAAAGTCATTTTGAATTTCAAAGTCAAACAGCCCGAGTTCATTATGAGAACAACAACAACAACAACAACCACAAAGAACAGAACATCCAGTTGTTCTCTGCCAAGTTACCAAAAACCTGTCAAGATGAAAGAATAATCCAAAAAGTATTTTCAGAGCAAACGGTAACGCGCTACCGAACTGTCAACTGTCCACTGACAACGAGCTGCTTCCAGAAGAAGATTGCCTCGGTTAACAACTAATTCCTTTTTTACCTAAAGGCATCAAAGACCCAAACTGTACGTGTCATCCAAAGTGGCTGACAGGTCCTCAACTTCAAAAGGAAGCAGAGACTCATCAGAAAACACCGCCGCTCTCCAAGAAAGTCTTTGCAATAAACAGAAAGTACAAATGGGAAGAAAAAAAAAATGTAGAGGATTTGGATTCCCCAGGTTTTATTATTGATGGACTTGTCCTGAAAAGTGTTTATGAATGAGCAGAGTTGATCTCATCAGTGGAGCACCTTTAATGTAATCTAATCAACAGTTTAGGAGTTAATCTGTTTATTTACTTGCTGGCGATGCACACAGTGCAACTGTTAACAATTTTAAACCTTCTGTAGGTGAATTCTTGGATTCTTTGGCCACATAATCAAGACAGTTGTGATTTTTCTACTTCACTACATGAAACGAGTGATTGCTTGAGTTATATTCATGTGATTTAATGTTTTCTCAGGACAAAACATTGACACTGATAATGTGTTTGGCACTTCATTTGCCCTGCAGTATTTTCTGGAATATATATGAACTTCTCTGATTGTGACTTGTTGGCAGTGCTCCCAAGTTCTATACTAAAAAGGTCAACATGAACTCTTATGTCTATTATGTCATCCTGACTGAAAACTCCAAAGCCTGCTGCCTTAAAAACGAGGCTGGAGGGAATGAAGACTGTCTGTATCAAAGTGAATGTTTAAGAATTTGGGATAAAAAAGGGCTGAACTGTGGGCCTACCAATCAAACTCCTGGGGAGAGGGAAGGCTCTAATCTGCTGTATTTCCTTACAGCAGAGCACACACATTCTAAGTGTTTATACATGTCCAACCTCCTCTAATCGTTCTCTTTCTACTAAACTGCATCCTCTCATCTGGACTCGTCCTTCTAGCTGCAGCTCAGCTTCAGCGCCTTAAAAGGATTAGTCCCACACCCCCAGTTCCTGTCCTGAAATTGCCTTTGCAGTTCCTTCCTCTTACTCTGCTGCTACCTTCAACCCTACAAATAATGCAGGAGGTTGAGAAAAGGTCACTGTTGTTCTGATGAGCTCTTAGGAAGGTATGTACCGGTATCTCTCTCTGTCTGAGACAGAGGGTGTTTGCATGACTCATACTGCAGACAAACAGCAAAGACAAGAGTGGGGGGAGTGATGAAGGGACAGAGAAATGGAACACAAAGCTGCTAGAGAGCAAACATTTATATTTTATAAGAAATGTGCACATTTTTCTTTATAAAATCAGCCTAAAGTTACATAAACAAAATTCTAGGTGTTTGCTAAGACAAATGGGGAGTGGTGGTGCAGAGGTTAGAGAGGTGGGCCTGTGATCCGAAGATCGCCGGTTCACGCCCCGGCCCCGACAACATCAAAATTGTAGGTGGGGCAGGTGAAGCACCCACACTTGCCCCCATCCTCATTCACCCCTCTCTGGGCCCATGAGCAAGGCCCTTAACTCCCCATCTAAAACCTAAACAGGTCGCTTGAAAATGAGTTCTCGTGGCTCAATGAGACTACCTGTATAAATAAAGGGTAAATGAAAAAAAAAAAGACTGCATGTGATGCTGAGATAACTTAATTATAACATTTAGAAACTGTCTAAACTGTGCAACACAGAGAAGGACTTTATCATTCTTATGTTTACTACTGTATTAAGTCCTATTACGTCAGCTCAAATTATTTTCTCTAATATTCATAAAATGCCACAAACTTACTGTAAATAAAACTATTTCAGCAACTGGAAGTGGACTCACTGATAGACTGGATCTGAAATTGTTAAACTGCAGCATCCAGTGGCTCTCATTACAGTTTAATTGGTTTAAAGTCTGACGTAAGCAACAAAAGCCACTAGATAAAGATACAAACACAAACACAATCACTGAACACACACACACACACACACACACACACACACACACACACACACACACACACACACACACACACACACACACACACAACATAGCATGAGGTTCATAAAGACATTACTGAAAGGCAAACACTTTAGGTAAAATAAGTAAATGGTCTGATGACCATCGATCACATTTTAGACAGAAAAATAATCCAAGATGCCAATATTATTAATTATAATAAGGAGTTTTCATGTTAATAATGAGTTTATTGAGTTAAAAGTGTGTCCTTCTGCATGTTGTCAGGGACAGCGGAAGCACGCAGTGCTGTGTCTGCACACTGACCGGTCACATCAGCATCAAACTTTGTGCAGCCCCAGGACTGGGATGGAAACCACACTAAGTGCAGTTCTTGTTTTCTCAAGACAAAAGACTTGGGATATTAACTTGATAACTACACTTTAAACAGCTCCAAGACAACACGATACAGTGCCGTGTCACAGTGTGTTGCTGGACATTACTAGTCTGAGAAAATTTGGAAAAACAAGAGTATATATGTTCTCCACATAGTTTCCAGTGCAGACATCTTTGTCCCCAATTATAATTGTATATATTTGTTATATTTATCTTTTTCTCTACAGTTATAGACATGCACAAACATAAATATTATACTTTCTTAGGAACAAGGCCAACAACCACTCCTGGACGTTGAGTTTTTAGAGTGCTTGACCTTCAAGGATCAATGAAAAAATAAATAAATGCAGAGAAGTCGCGTAAATCCATTTCTGAAAATCACTGATGGTGCATTATGTAGGGTGAAACAGGAGCAAAGCATGAAGGATAAACATGAAGGTGAGTGAGTCCATGACTGACATTATCCATCAACTCCTCCCCTCCTGCCGCCTCTCTCATGACTTCTCTCTTGTCATGTTAAAGAGAAGCGGCAGAGAATTTTGATCCTTCTTGTTGCGCACTAATAAACACAGCTCGACTGCTAACAAAGACTGAAGCGCATATTTGGTACTTCCACACACAGATGCTTCCAGTGGCAAAACATAATCTAATTTTCATTGCTGCTGAAATATGAATTGTTGAAATAAGAGACTGCAATATCTAAGCAAGGGAGAGCAATAAAGATGGGAACTTCTGCACCACTTAAAGCTAGTTGATGCTGTTCATATAAATTCTCTACGTGTTTCTGAAGCAAAACAGACTTTAAAATTAGCAAAGTTTTGAAGCAACTTTTAGTGAATGGTCAGTTCAAATTTGGCACCAACTAATCCTTCATACATCCTGCTACTCCAGTCAAAACTGCTAGAGTCATGAATCTGATAAACAAAATAACCTGGAATGCTAAAATGCTGCTTGATTAAAAATATTAACCACACACACTTTTACATGAACCATAAAATCTGAGAGTCACTTGAACTTGAACTACAGACTCGTATTCAGACTGCTGTTTAATTTACTGTATTATTTTACATTATTAGTGTTTAAGGTATACTTAGTGTATACATATCTTAGATCCTTATACTTTTTATTTTTATACTTTACATTTTTGCTATTTTTGGGTGCAACTGAGACCTTGAGTACACAATTTCATTCTACCTCATGTACCACATGTGATGCAAATGACAATAAAGAACCTTGAACCATGATTTTATTACTCCTATTTGTGCATTATAGTATTATTAAAGACTAGTATAAGCAAAAGATAAAGTTTAATTTATTTTAGCAGGATTATATCTGAGCACTAACCTGCATCATGAAGGACCACACTCACCCAGTACACACAATTTTTGCCCCGCTCCCCTCAGGCAGGAGGTTGAAGAGCATTAAGTGTAGAACCACTAGACTGAGGAACAGCTTCTACCCTGAAGCTGTTAGACTCATGAATATCTAACCAGGAAAAATGACTGTGAAAATTGCTGTAATGCCACTTGGTTGTTGATATGTGCTGCTGATTATCCATGCTGCTGATCTCATGCTGCTGTATTCATTTGTACCCATCTGCTCACCACAGACTGTTGAATGTTCAGGCTGCTGTTGTTACACCATATTGTTTTACATTATTAGTGCCATTATTAGTGCATTAAAGGTGCCGTTTGGTGTTTATTTGGCGTATATCTTAGTGTATATCTTAGATCCTCATATACTGTTTCTTCTTTGCACTTTATATTTTTGCTATTGTTGGGTGTAACTGGGACCCTGTGTACATACTTTCGTTCCACCTCATGTACCACGTGATGAGAATGGCAATGAAATTGACTTAACTTGATGTTATAACATAGTTCGTTAAGCTTAGATTTAATACGAAGAATTAAAATAAAAAAGTATCCTTAATAACTTTTTTTTTTGCTGAATGAGTATAATTGAGCTAATTTTACAGCACAAAACAACCTAAATCTGTATGATCAGGTACTTACACATAATACAGTAAAGTGACTATTTGCTCAGACGCTACAATTAAACATATTACAAATCCTAATTTCTGTAAGTAACACTAAGTTTAATGTTTACATATTTGTGAATGCATATATGTCCACATGAGCTAGCAAATACCCCATAAGGAGATTTATAACATATGTAAATTAAATGTGGCATTATGTCAGTTAATTTAGTCCCACTAATGTGTTAAGCCATAATTCATCAGATCAAATAATCATTTATTGCAGATGTGATGACAAACAGAGGCTGCAGACAGAGACTACCCCCCCCACCACACACCACACACACACACACCACCACCACCACCACCAAACAAACACACAGGTCGCATCAGGATCTCTTACAGCATTAAAATAAGTGCTGATTAGAACGTCAGATACATAAAAGATGTATGACTGCAGAGTGAACCCTGAATGGGGGGGGGGGGGGGGGGGGTCAACCTGCACTAAATGACTACTTGTTTAATTAAACTGGATAGCACTGAAGTGCTGGTGAAGCCACAGCTGAAGTGAGTGAAGTGGCTCAACTTGTCAGAGTGGATAAATGTTATGATGTTTGTTCAGCCTGTTTGTTTCCTAAATAGAAAAAGAAACTGATTTAAGGTTTGTTCCCGTGTTTGAGTGAAATGATCAACAGTTTGAGGCAAACGTTGCTGAGAAAGCTAGTTCCACATATTATAGTGACACGAGGTCTGGGATGAAAAACTGTCAGTCTAAAAAAAAAAAAAAAAGCTGTGGTAAACCCTTTATGTGGACTTGAGGATTTCGTTTAGCTTCCTTTTTCCTGCCCATCACATTTGTGATGTTTGAAGTGAGTGTAGAATGTGAAATGGTACAGCTGCCAGAGTAGAACAGAAAATGAAAACACCCACCCGAGGACCCCCAGTCTGCTCAGCACTCTGCGTCTCCTTCTTCTTCTGCTCCTGAGCCATGACGTCTTTCAAATATTCATTTATCTGAATGGAAAAACAAACAAACAGTCGGTGCCTAAGTCACATGCAGCAACAGTGACAAATTCATACAGAAACAGATCCATATTTGCACTCATGGCCATCAAGCAAAGGATAACTTCATTCTATAATTAACTTGAAGAAACAGCTACATTTTAATGTAAAACAAAAATCAGTAGGGCCATTACCATAACCAGCTTTCATTTCTTCATATTGCCTTTATTTGTTTCTGTCAATTACTTATCTTTTGAATATAGCATAAAACGACAAGTCAACGACAAAGATTTACATGCAAACAACATCAATTTATCTAAATCCACTCCTTTTCCAATGGAATCAGTGAAATGTTCAACACTGAGTTAATCAGGTTAAGAGCGGTTGTGAAGATGGTGATTTTTGGATGTGAAGCGTTCCAACAAAGGGCCATCTGTCTGTCCAGTATGAGACCATGACCACACCTCCTGCAGGCCTTTGTCTGCTCTGAGTGTGTGAAGCCCAGAGCTCCCACTAGAGGAATGTAAACACACTTGAATTTGTTGTACTGTACATGACGGCAGCCATCTGTGCATGCAGGCCATGTAAAGAACCACTCACATGTGCTGTCAAGGGAATTTAGGTAAAGGTTTATGGATGTTTATCACTAACGTTAAAGTAATGTTACCATGTGTGTGAGGTCAGAGAGTTTCTTTTTCCCGCTCAGAGAAGAGCCTGCAAGTACCTGACGCAGTCTGGAGGAGGAGCTGATAAGGGTGTATTATTAAAAAATAAAAAAAAACACTTCCTGCACTTCATCAGGTGCAGATCTTCGCAACCGGGGCTTAAATGAGACATCTGTGTAAGCCTGTGTGAACTCTGCCCTTGCAAGTAAACTGTGTTATAAAAATCTTCTGTCATGGTGTAAGGGTTTGAATACAGGCTGTACTTTTTAATTTGATTTAGGAAACACCTTAACATTCTTTAACACTGCTTTTGTGCTGTTTAGTCAAATATCATGTCTAGATTGAATGAGCGTTTGGAAAAATGAGTCTTACTAACTGTTTTTAGACTAGAAGTAATATGGAAACTGTGCCTGAGCTGCATCACATGATTCATCTATGAACAATGAATACAAAGTTGGGATGACCTGATTTCATGGTTTGTATTAACAGTTCACACATGCATCATTACAAACCTTGTTAATCCAAGTGGTCACTGCATCCTCCGTGTCATACGGTGTTTCGATTTGAGGGTTGCAGAAAGAATACTGATAAATGCAGCTCATTACTTTCTCTGCACTTACAGTCTCCACTGTGTATGCCATCATCAGGGTGTCAATCATTGCCAGGTGGGCACTCTGGTGGGAGAGCACAAACAAAGAAGGATTAGAAGGTGCACATTATTAGCTCTAATGTTGCCTAGTGGTTTATTTAATGCTCACCATATTAAGCCATTGTGACATTTCCTTCTCTCTTTTCTACTTTGAAACTTGTGTAAATAAATAAAAAAATAGATATCTCTCCCCAAAATGAAATAACTTTGTCAAAATAGTAAATGTAAGCATTTACAGCTTTGAAATATATTCACAGTGAGAAATCTAATTAGTGAAATGTTTAATTTCCTCGGTGTCTGTAATTTGGCATCAAGGCAGCGAAGCAACTGTTTAATAACAGACTGCTGAGCTGTTTCCTTCTGGCCTTCATTTAGACAGTCCAAACACTGCAAAACAAAACCAACAAATGTACACACAGAGAGACAAACATCCTGTTATTAGATTTTAGAAAATAGTTACGGATCTTTCCAGGTTTCTACAACAAAATGACCAAACATTTTTTTAAAAAGGCTGAGGGACAAACATGAGGGATCCTTCTCATCCCCCATCTGCTGAGTAATTTAAAGGTATTGATCTGAATCTACTCTGCTCTGATGAGATAAAACAACAACAGGGAGAGTTAATCTCGTTAACTAAACCACAGACCCTCAGTCTGTAATTAAAGTGAATGACAACATGCTAATGTGTTGGACGATGAAGAGAAATGACTACACGACCAGATTCAGGTCCTTCTGACACTACGAGCATCCACACTGGATAAAGTGAAAGCACCTCTTTTAGAAGTTGAGAGATTCAGCAGCTGTTTGGAAATTATGTTTTTGCCATAACAATTTATGAATGAAATACTGTTTCTCTGAACAAATCTAAAACCCTAAGTAAAGGAGCAGAGAGCGAGAGAGAGATGTGGAGACAGATGAAGACACTACTACAAAGAGAAATATAATTTCTGCTGGAGTAAAACCACAGCTTTTATAGACCCAGTTCAGTCACATAACATGCAATTATGCCTCTTCCTGAAAAGTAACAACATATGGCGCATTTTTAGTATATTTTATCTGAAACAACTCGCAATATTTCAACTAACTTGGTGTTTTTGCACACATTACTCACAAAATGTGCTGTGTATGTACAGCAAACAGAGTGATGTAATTAATTTACCCTACAGGAAATTGCAAATTGCTGTACTGTGTAATATTCAACAAAATTACCTCATTGCTTTCAGTAGAGTTGATTTTTTTTTTTTATAGAAAGGCTTTAGTAAGTAAACTGATGTCCTGAAGATGATACGGATGAATAGAAAATACTCACTGACCATAAAAAGATTCAGTCTGTCTCATAACAAAAGATCTGACATGTGCAGTTAAGCTGTTTTCTCTGTTATACCTCATGACTGTTCCTAACCTTTAGTTTTTGTGCACACATGCATTCCTTCAACATTATTTAGCCTCATATTTGTGCATATACTCACACCTAGAAGCTGCAGCAATATTTCTCAACTCAAGCAAGGCTTAATTTGTAAATTGATTGATGCCGGAACACAAATAGTCCAACTGGGTCTGTGGGTCATCCCTCAGAAAATGTGGACATTTAATGTCTGTACATGGTTGGCTGGTGCTGGTGCAGGAAGAACAACCTTCACATCAATGTGAAGAAGACGAAGGAAATGGTTGTGGACTTCAGAAGGAACAAACACACCCACCACCCCTGAATATAGGAGGATCTGCGGTGGAAGTGGTCTCCAGCTACAAGTACTTGGGTGTGCACCTGAATGACAACCTCAGCTGGGGCAACAACACCATCAGCCTGATCAAGAAAGCTCATCAGAGACTCTACTTCCTCAGGCGGCTGAGGTGAGCTGGTCTGAGAAGCTCAGTCCTCACCTCCTTCTACAGGTGTGCAGTGGAGAGCATCCTGTGCTCCAGCATCAACGTGTGGCATGGAGGCTGCACAGCTGCAGAAAGAAAAGCTTTGCAGAGAGTGGTGAAGGCTGCACAGAAGACTGTTGGAGTCAGCCTGCCCACCATCACAGACATCTACACCTCCAGATGCAGGAAGAGGGCCACCTGCATCATGAAGGACCCCACTGACCCAGCACACACACTTTTTGTCCTGCTTCCCTCAGGAAGGAGATTAATAATAATAATAATAATAATGTCATCACAATGTCAGCACTGTATGTTTCCATACAATGGCGAAATTAGTCTCTGCATTTAACCCATCCACCACCAGGTGGTGCAGTGGGCAGCTATTGAAGGCGCCCGGGGGGCATTTTGGGGATGAGGCGTGCTGCCCAGAGACGCCACGGGAGTATTAAGTGTAGAACAACTTGACTGAGGAACAGCTTCTACCCGAAGTTGTTAGACTCATGAATCTCTAACCAGGATAATCAATGTGAAAAAAATCACATCATGTTGCTGCTGATCTGTTTCATGTTGCTGCTGATCTGTTTCATGTTGCTGTGTTCATTCGTACTCATCTGCTCACACACACTCATGTTCGTGCTGCTGTTCGGTGTACTGTTTTTTATTCTAGTGCTTAGTGCATTTTTAGTTAACATTTTGCTTAGTTCATTTCTTAGATCTTATTATTCTTTTTCTTTTATATTTTAGTACTTTTGTTGGATGTAACTGGGACTCTGTGTACACAATTTTGTTCCACCACATGTGCTACATGTGGTGTGTATGACAAATAAAGAACCTTGAATCCTTGAGTGGTTGAACGATTGTAAATGTGTCTGTTGTCCATTATTCAAACTGAAGAGTTTTTCATTTTCAAGTTTCTACTCTAGTCCTGAAATGTCAAAAAGATTATGTCTGACATCTTAAAACACTATATCAATAGTAATGTTTAGGTAATTTAATCCCCATTTATAAATACTTAACCCTTTGTTTGGGTGTACAGGAGGCATAAAGCAACAGAAATACATTTTTCTGTTGTGCTGAAGCTGGTTGTATCCATAAATCACGTACAGATTTCTCACGTGGTAAGAAGAGGCTACTTCACAGTCAATATCCTGTTTTCATTGTACCGCTACTTAGCTGGCACGCTGAGGAAATAGGTGAGCACCACTCATCTTTAATATGGTTTCATGGTGAAAAAGCAAAAATGGAAATCCATCGTAGAAGCTCGACTTAACGTTGCACAAAAGAGCTGCAAATATGAACTACAAAGACTTGCAACAGACTGTTGGTGGATTTTCTTTCAGGGGTCTGAATACAACAAAAATCTCTGCTCCCAATTCTCTGAGCCGTTTGTCGAGGCCTTACCTGGGTCGTGTTATCATAGAAAAAAAATCACATTTTATTTAACTACTGAGAAGAAGCTTTATGGAAAAATCTGTTAAATGATGCAGAATTCACAGCTAACTGCAAACAGGTTTGCATCTGACCTACAACATTACAAATTATCAGCCCAAACTTCTTGTCATTCAAGTTCAGGACTTAACTGATTATTTGCGATAAACGTATTAGTAGCTTGAGGGTTATATAGTGTGGAAATGCAGCTTGTTTTGAGCATTACAGCTCTCCTGGGAAGGCTCGGGGATAAAAGTTGACTCTGTCTAGCTTTAGGCACAGGCTGAATAAGACAGACATGGAAAACTACTTAGTGATATCCCTCTTTGGTTTCTTTTTTTTTCAGGTATGTGAATAAACTAATGCAAAAACGGGGACAGAGATTTTATCTTTCATATGCAGAAGAACTTTTGAACAGTAAGAGGAAAAAAAACAAATCAATATGTTCAAGCTATCAGGTCTAACTGATGAATATATTACTAAACATTTGAACCAAATCAGGTCAAGAGATTTCAACTAAAACATAAAGTGTATGATGATGCTCAGGAAACTGAACCAGTTCAGTCAGTCAAACTGCAATTTTCTTTGCACTAATAGAATAACGCACAATTACAGTTTAAGTTTAGAACAATACTCCAAGATATTAGCAGATCTAAATGAAAATGTGATTATTTTTGTACATTTAACATAACTTTTAACTACATTTATTCAGCAACGTCTGAATGGGAGAGCCATAAAAATGCTCACATCCACAAGGTCACACATGCAGAAGTTTTAGATGTCTTGTCCCATGCCTGGACGAGATCTGCTCGAGCCACAGGAAATAAACATACTAAACATGAATATTTATTTTCATTACATATGAATCTAAATATTTATGTTGGTATGTTTTATGAAGATATATGCATACATATATGCACACTCAACAACAATAACAATAAAAATAACAATAACAAGTGAAAATAAAATAAAATTTAGATGGTATGATAATAATGAGTACAATGAGTATAATGGTATGAGAAATTGAGAATAACTGAGAAATTGAGAATAACAAATTGAGAATAAGAAGTGAAAATTACATGGTATTTAATGGTAAAATAATATTTAATAGTATTTAATGGTAGGTGGAAGGAATACTTCTCGGAGTGGCTGTGGCTGAGTTGTTAGGGCAGTCGTCCTCCAATGCGAGAGTTGGGGGTTCAAATCCACCAGCAGTCACATGTTGAAGTGTTCCAGGGCAAGATACTGAACCCCTCGTTGCCTCTGATGTGTGTCCCATCGGTGTATGAATGTGATAAAGCACTGATTAGTCTCATTAGAATGATTTGTTCAATTAGCTTTGTAGAGATCTAGTAGAGTGCTGTATGATTGGGTAAATGAGGACACAGATTGTAGTGTAAAGAGCTTTGAGTATCTTGAAATAAGATAGAAAGGCACTATATAAGTACAGTCCATTTACCATTTACCATCTCAATCCCAATGGCACGTCTTCCATGGAGGAAGCTGAGTTGGGGGACTTCGGGGTTGGTTTGTCTATAACCATGGCTGAGGTCGCCGAGGTAGTTAAAAAGCTAGGTGGGGGCAGGGCACTGGGGATGGATGAGATTCGCCCTGATTTCCTTACGGCTCTGGATGTTGTGGAGCTATCTTGGTTGACAGGCCTTTGCAACACTGCATGGACATCAGGGGCAGTGCCACTGGATTGGCAGACTGGGGTGGTGGTTCCCCTCT